AACAGATGCGCGAGCCTACTGTACATCCTGTCCACCTCCAGATCGGTTGTCACCTCTTTGGTGGCGCTGGCCACATCTTCTTTTAACCCGTCGCACCAAGAGTCTAGGTCCGCATCCGGGGAAAGGGCGCGCTCGGAGCGGTTGGCTCCGAGCGGTTGGCTCATCTTCCAAGGTGACGCGTTCGAGCGTAAGGGATGTGGATGCTTCGCGTAGTTGTTCAAGCTCGGTTTTTTTTATTGGGCTGCAGCCAAATTCTGATTTTCAAATGGAAAGAATGTTGACGTGGAGGTTTTGGAGCGACGGCAGGTGGTATCACCCATGCTACTGAGAGCGTCAGCTGGAGCGTTGTCAACACCGATGATGTGGCACATATCAGTATCAGTTGGTATATATCAGTTGAAAGAGCGACCGTCAAGCAGGTGCCGAAAATGGCGCACGGCGAGAAAGATGACGAGCAACTCACGACTGATAACGCTCTAGTTTCTTCGGGCAGATGTCATACGCTTGGAGAAAAAGGCAAGGGGCTGCCACTGATCACTTACTGTTTGCTTGAGTATGGCCTCAAGTTCAGAACAGGACGCATTTGTCATGAGCGCCAGGGGGCAACTGGAATTGTGGTGCGTCCGCAGTGTGGCTTCAGTCAAAGCGTTCTTGATGGAGTTGAAAGCTTCTTCCACATCAGTGTTCAATTGTAGCACAGTTTCCGAAGGATTGCCAAATAGCAAATTGTCGAGGGGCTCCAACAGCGTAGCACAGTTTCTAATACATTGGTGGTAGAAACTGACAAGCCCTAGAAAGTGGCGCAGCTTGGTTATTGACGTAGGCTTGGGAAACTCTACTATTGCTCGCACTTTGTCAGGAAGGGGGCTAATTACACTGCTGTCCAAGCGATGACCCAGAAAATCAAGAGACGAAACTTTAATTTCACTTTTTGCAGTGTTCACATTGATTTCCTTGGCTGACAGACGCTCGAAAGGTTGACGGAGACATTGCAAGTGCTCCTCCTGGGATGAGCTTGCTGCCAGCAGGTCGTCGACATAGGCGAACACAAATGGCTGACCGCGTATGACCATGTCAATGAACCGATGGGACGTTTGTGCAGCATTGCGGAGGCCGAATGTCATTCTTAAGAAATCAAAAAGGCCAAATGGGGGGGGGGGGATAGTTGCCGTTTTTGAAACATCTGCTACAGCAACGGGAGTTTTGTGAAAGGCTTTCACTAAGTCGATTTTAGAGAACACTGTTGTGCCATGTAGAGCTGATGTGAAATCCTGAATGTTAGGCAGGGGATACCGGTCGGGAATAGTGGTGATGATATGGTGGCGAGCATTTTGTCCAGTCAGGTGGTTGCCTGATGTTCGGAAATTTGCGAGGAAGTCTTGCGAAATTGTCATTGGCTACTGTTGTAGGCGGGGTGATTATGTTCGAGTCGTGGGCAACATCTTAAACAGAGAGCAGCGTAGTAGTGTCAAGCAGATGTTGCCGGTTCATGTCGACCAGCAGTCCATGGTGGTTTTCAGAAGTCGGACCAATTAAGGCAAGTCGTACGTCAGCGACGAGGAAAACCCAACGAAACACGTGACGTAAGCCTAGATTCAGAGTGAGTGACCGTGATTTGTATACGGGGATCTTGCTACCGCTGACAGTTTGCAGGTAAGAGATTGGGGGTATTGTTCGTTCAGATTTTCGCGACTGAATAATGCTGACCTGTGCACCAGTGTCCACCAGGTACTGCTGGCCTGTGATTTTGTCCATGACGTTAAACAGGCGACGTTTGGGTTGGCCTTGACCAGTCATCGCCGTGAATGGTCGGCCTACCTGTTTCCCTGTCACAAGCAAGGTTGGAGGCAGTGACACTCATCATGCCCAAAACGGTGATGGTAGTAGCATACCCCAGGTGGTGTGGGGGATCGAGAGCATTGTGCGCGTCTATAAGGCGGGGACCTTCGGCTGGGGTTTCGGTGACGTGGAGTGGGATATTGACGCTCCGCGGCGCAAACCAGTTGTTTTAGGTGATCGCAAAGTGCGTTGATGGGAGAAGCAGGGTCAGATGGTGTTTGTGGAGCGGCACTCACGTTGTTGAATGACGGCTTGATTTTGCATACAGACGGCGTGGCCACCTTCAAGACTTTGTCCGCCAGGCTGGCAAAACCGTTGAGAGCCAACGTGGACGCAGTGGCTCGTATCATTTGCACGTTGCCAGGAAGGCGCTGCAGAAACACTTCTCACAAGAAGTTTTCGTCAGTAGTGGTGGTGTAGCCGCTCATGAGTTGGCGTTATGAGGAAGAAGCTGGCTGGGCCGGTGGTTGCCTAATTCCTCCGCGGAGAGCAACTGATGTATGCGGGAAAGCTGTGATGCCCTCGTTAGCTCCAGCCGAGCAGCCTTCAGAGTGCTGTACGGTGTGGTGGAGGAGGTTCCGGAAAGCAGGTCAGATACTTCTTCGGCAGCACCTGGTGACAGCACCGAAACAACGATATGGTACTTGCATTGTTCATTGGGCGCGCCAGAAAGCACGCATTGACTCAGCTTGAATGAACCATATCGAAGGGCTTTGGTCCCAGTAAGCTGGCAGTCGGAGGGAGATCGCACAGACGCCATGATCGGTTGTGCCAGTAGCTTCCGTATTGAGGTGCGCCTCGTTGCTCTGCATGACTCTACAATACTTCGGCAGTGCCGCCAAGGACTACAGGTCTTCACTTTGTAGAGCCAGGTTGTACGAGACGGAAACATCTTTCAGTAACACCATCTATTTTATTCTGACAACTGGATAGTCGAAAATGGAGCAGAAGCACGCAGTTCACACGAAGTGGCAAGAGTTGAAGGGACGAAGGTGAAACGTAGAGGAGAGCAGCACGTTACTTAAGAATGTTGCTTTGCTTTTTGTGACCGTGGGGTGCGCGGTGGTGGCCGCGTCGCTACAGCTGCAAGCAGGTGCACGGCACTGCAGTCGGCTCTTCTGCGCCCGTCACTGTCGCAAACCTTTGCCCTGGAAGCTGTGTAAAAGCATGCCCTCGCTTCATTTGCTGCCCTGGCGAAACATTTTGTCCGATATTTTGATAATGTTTTGCAACTGAATACCTGCCATGGTTGTTGAAACAACAAAATTTTATTGAAACTATACCTCTACTCTAAGCACCTCTCCTGCCATATACATTCTAACGATAGCGATAGTTATAGCGCGAGAACAGAGCGATGACGCGGAGACAACCGATCATGTCGTGTCCTTTGTGTCCTTCGTTTCTCTATGTCGTCATTATCGTCATGTAATACCAACTAGTCCAAGCTGCTGCACTTCTACATATACGTTCTGTAGTGTCTATGCTTGTGGAGCGCGCTCGGTGAATTTTCTCTAAGCAATAAGGCACAGTCAATGTGGAACCTGTTCGACGGAGGCTGGCTGCTTGCAGTGCAGTGACAACTGCAGCACCCAGCTCAATATAACGGAATTTGTAGAAGAAACCGCGCATCGGTTCCTTATGGCCCAGGCTTCAGTGAAGATCTCGCTCTGGTTTTGCGTGGGCACTAAGTCCAAGCGGCTCGCGTACTGACATAAAAGCTCTGAGGCAGTATCACAAGTGTCGAGGGCGAGTAAGACAGACACAATTTTCCTGGTGTAGTGTAAAAAATTCCTTGCGAAGACTGCGAACATGTTTATATTAGTGAGGAAGGTACTTGCAAAGAAGCCTTCATGAACGTTTCAATGACGTCAAGAACAAGAAAGCGGCTTCTAATGCCATCGCACATCAAGTTGCTTCCAGTGGATACGCTATTAACTGCAATGAAGCCTGCATTAAATGCCTGCATTATTGCCATTACTGCCAAAATGAAATTTTCAGCCATTCAGACTACTGGCCTTATACTAGACATAAACATCAGGACACTACACCACTATCCATGCATGTGCGATGTTTGCAAGATGTGATGTCATGTGTATTGAAAGACGGCACTTCGTTTGCGGTCATTGGGAACAAGGCCTCCGTGTAGGGAAGCCAAAACGTCTGTTTATTTTTGTGTATTTCACCTTGGCGGATGTTTGTATTGTTTTCGCCATACGAAAAGACTGTTACAGGTAAATGAGGCAAACTGAAATGACAGATTATTCAAATAACAAACGTGGGCCGCCTATTCGCAGTGATAGGCTACCTGCGTTTACTTGTTGTTGTTTTTATTATTAAACTGTACGCAGTGATGTAGACAGGCGCAGGAACACTGAGCCCGAGCTCCCTTCCCGGTAATTTATTTTCATTATGGCATACTGAGCGAACAGTGACCAGTTCAAAAGGTGCCTTTTTTGCCTCAAAAAAGCAGGTGCGCCGCTGTACTGTCTGCCCTTCTTTTAAACCCTCCCATCTGTCCTCTTCCTCGACAGTTTCCTTTCCCACCTCTTGGCCGCCCTCTACACCAGCTTAAGACACGCTCTGCTTGCTAGCGTGAATAACAGAGTAATATGATGAATTACGTTGCACAGTGTTGGTGATTACTTGCAGCCAACAATTGCATAGCAATCAAGGAAACAATTACTTAACTATCCCATTCTTACGGGGCGCGCCTTTTGAACGTGGGTGTGCACCCTTGTATCATAAGAGGAGAAGAAGTGTTTCGACTGAAATTGTTCTCTTCAGTACATCTACTTCAGTCTAACTTTTTTCGTTTATTATTTTCTCTTTTTCTTTTTTCCCAATAAGTTGTTTCGGCGCTTAGAGTCATAGCATGCTACGCCGGAGCAATCGGTGCAAGGTTTGTGCGAGAGAAACAAAACTCGAAGAAAGCATATGGAAGCAGAGCATGTGATAGTTCGCAATAGTTATATATGTTTGTTCGTAGCTCTTGCTGTAAACGCAGCTTGAAACAGTTCCGCTGTTAAAACAACATTCGTAGCTCCCTTGAAAAGCTTCGGCGTCTCTCATAATCATATAGTGGTTTTGGGACGTTAAACTCCACATATCAATCAATCAATCCCTTGAAAAGCTTGAATTCAGAGAACCCTACTTTTACTTACTGCTTGATAGACCACTCTCAAGAAGTGCTGTAAATTCAATAGATGCAACACATTATTCAGCTTAACGACAACTGTATAATGCTATTGGCAGAGTGGTAATATACGTACGTTATTGTGCGCGGGCTCATGTTCGAGGGAACGGGTGCGTCAATCAACGAGCCAAGTTATATGAAATGCTGCTCGGTGGGCTCATTTCTGGTAGGATTGTAAGGACAAGCAGAGTTACAAGACAGGAATGGAAGAGGCACATGCACGAGCGCTGACTCACAAATTCTATCAATATTCTGCACAGCGATAATAAAAAGTCTATTGTGAGTCAGCACTCATGTGTCTGCCACTTTGGTCGCTGTATTTTTGGCCTCCTTTTTTTGTTGCAATGCCAAAGAGTTACGATTCTTTGATTGAGCACAATAAGTAAAATGACACATATCCCTTGATAAATGTTGCATCATCTTAAGTTAACTGCTGAATAACCAAGTCTTCTCACTCCTATTTCATTGCTGCATACATTACGTAATATCTACGCATTAGAGAAACACATATGCCTAAAGCTAATGCCTTACAAGAACACGGCCATAAATGTAGCATTCATATAATGAAGCAGTGCAACATTACTGCACGATTCTTTACGTGACGTTTTATTGCCCTCTATTTTATTCTGTAAAATACGCCCCAGCAATACGCTCTAATGTCCATTGCATTCAAAATTGCGGCATTTGGTTTAGTAATTCCAGAAGCGCAGAATTGTGCCAGCACTACGCCGGGCTTCTGACAAGAGATGGTTCTAAAATGTTTACTTGTCACAGCTGCGTAGTGCTTGAGCGTTACAGTAGCGCATTCAATTAACCAACTTCTGTTAATACGAACTATGTGTACACAAGTTGTTCTTAGAAATTATTTTACCTGTCGTTTACTGTTTACTGATCACGGGTATGCAAACATGTTGTTTTTAACACAAAGGTGTATTCTGCAGAAGTAAACCTATACTTCAGTGACGCATTTTTGTCACTGAAATGACGTTTACAAATGTACAAAATCAGTATATGCACACTCCATCAACGGGCATTGAACGACAGAGCTATCTCTCCGCAGCAACAGGTCCCAAGCACGATGTGCATTGTGCCGAGGCCACAGACTCAAGGAGCTTTACAAACGGGCCTTTTATATTCCCTCTTAAAGTGCTCTTGACCGGCATTGTAGGGTCTCATTGTTGTAGCCGTGAACAGAAGTAATTCAATGCCGCTACCTTAGCGATTAGCACCAGCATCGTTTGTCGCCCTCTGTCGGACGCGGATAGAATCTGCAACGAAGTCATCCTCTATTAGATGCGCCACGATTGCGTGCTAAGTAGGACACCGCTATGCACACCCTAGAAGTTGTGCTGCCGGTTCTTAAGAAAAACGCTTCATGGGAGCCCTACAGGATCTTTGTGCAGGTATTGTGAAACGAAATAAGTCCCTGAGAGTCATAATAGTTTTTGATGAACAGGAACCATAAGATCGTTTTACAGTCGATGGATCTGCAGAACACAAAGCGGCCACTTCAAGTGGTCTCCGCGAAGAAGACTCCTTGTGTGACGGGTAGGCAGTCACCGAGTGAAAAAGATCTCGCAATCTCCAAGAAGTGCCTGATGTTGATGGGGGCAAAGCTGCAATGCCTATCGGTATAAAGATGACACGTTATAATTGTGATTGAGTATCACCTTTTCTCGTGCGGCCGCGCCTACGCAGCGGCGACACCAAAGTGGACGTAGTTGCGAGGAAGCGGGTGCACTTTGGTCGTTGCAGCAATCTCTTTCCTCTGTCTCTCCACTACAGTGCTGACGCTGGACCAACGAAAAATTGGCCCGAATCTACACGTTACACTGTAAATGTCGTCGAAAGACGATATTCTTCCGTCTGGAGAGAGTAAACAAAACGTTCAGTTGATGTTCTGTGCAAGAAAATCGATGAATGGTATTCTGAAGGTGCTGCGTTAGAGTGCCTCGAGTGTGTAACGGAGGTGAACAAGCGCATCTAGGCACGTTAGACACGACTGCCATCTGGCAGTTATCTTTAAAAACAAAGGCCTGCGCAACTGCGGAGAAAGATGCGTGCCATTCTCGGAGGTGATCTGGTGTAGAATGCAAAGCGACGGGCAGGTACCACCACTGTGCCGTCGTAGCGAAGCGTTGGAAACACCTTCTTGAGCATCGCGTTGCACTGTCAGCGCAGCGCAGTTAACCGCTGCACTCCTCAAAGTTACATGTGTGTGCCTCTTCTAGTATAAAGGCAGACATACTAAACATAGACATATTGTTATGGCACCTCAGATATGCGCAATTTTAGCTTTTTTAATTGGCAATCGCACATCTATGAACGCTAAACTTTGAGCAATATTGGTGGGCGCTGCGGATGAGGTTGGCCGTTTAGTGCCATTTGAGGTATCGTTAGAAAAGACAAACAGATAAATGTACAGACAGACAAAGCAAAAGTTTTTGGTCGAAGGTCCCCAAGAAAGACTACCTTCTTAATAATATTCTAGAAGCTGCCACCGGACGCCCGCACCCAGGTACCCAACTTCTGACGCGTCTGTCACCATAGCGCGACAGCTTGACACGACCACCACGGCGCCCAGCATCCTGGTACTACCAGAAATTTCCTGATTTTGACCGAGAAAGCCAGCGATCTGGCTCCTCTAAATGGAGGCTTGTTTCTACCTGTGTGACATTGACTCGCAGCAGAAGTACGACATTGCGGAAATGATGCTTCCTCCTGTTCTGCAATGCGTCGTACCACCTCCTGGGCCGCAGGCATATGACTCCGAGGCTTCGTGCTAGCCATACAGCAACCGGTAGCGCCACGTTACTTGCTCCCTGCCGCGCTAACAGTTACTTTATAACCTAGTGCTGTACAATCCTTGATGCCCAAAGAGGCCGACTGAAGTAGCTCAATTCTACCAGCTTCGAACACTGAAGAATCAGTCAGTTCGCAGGTAACCACGTAGCCAATGCATGAAGCAATTTCCAGCGACATGTTCAGAGTGTCACTGTACATGTCACGTGCCACGAACGAGTGTCGCTTTAAATTCACTCATTTCTGCTCTACACATGCCATTGCTGACTCCAGCGTTCACTTACCATTGCAACTCAGTCAATTAGCACTGACACTAACATGAGATGTGCCAACACCAGAAGCCGTACAAGAATCCAAAAATTATACATATTGCTCTTGTTTGTTTCAGTATCTAAATAGGTATTAGTAATCCGGATTGATACACAGGCAGTCGCTGAAGGTGCTGACAGATTTTGCACCTGGCGACATAGAAAAGGAAGCTACTTTACATGTTCCGCTACAAAAAGCGTTTGCTTATTTTCCGGGGCATAGCTCGTTGGCCAGTTTGTCCACCTTCTGGGTAGTCATGAATAGCTTGTAATTTGGGAATCACCAGCTAATAAAGTTCTTCAGATCGGCCCTCTTGCCAGTGACGCTGGTATATCGCAGCATTGGGCATCACGAAAATACTGTTGTTAACCTTGTCAGAGATAGAATGAAAAATAGTGGTCAGTTATTTATCCTTCTGTTGGGCTCGCAAAATATTGATCTGGCGAAAAAAATGTAATTTTGCCTGATGCGCATGCAAAGGGGTTCCGTGAGAGTACCATCAGTCCCAGCGCGGTAGGACACCTTAAAATCACATTCTTGCAGCGTTATTATCCACAGGTAAGTTTATGCTTTAGTGTCTGCTTTGAAAAAATGTTTGCTATAATCTTTGCTATCGGCAGCAAATTTGTGTCAGAAAAGATAACTCCTGTGAGAAAAAAAAACGAAATTAGTTCATGCAAGGCAGTACAGAAGATAAGGTAGGCAGAGTTGACTACTCCCTTGTCATTGGTTGCAGCGTTTGCTCACTTGTCGTTGGTTGCAGTAATGTATTAGTAGTCGCAGCTGGTGAAGGCTGGAGCTTGACGTGGGGGTGGTATGTGGGAAGCCTTATATAATCAGACACCAAGAAATCTGCTCCTAGGCTTATGTCGGCAGGAAGCTTTTCAAATACGGGAATACATTGAAGAACTTCACTGTCCACTGACGTCCCGGCTGAAATGCTCAACATGTCGACTGGCATAGCCTTTCTTCCAAGTTCGTAGGGGAGAGGTTGCGTACATGGCCGGATACTGTCGGGGTCATGACGTTGGTGTAGCGACATTCCCTTGCGCACGAGTATCTACCAAGTCACCTATTGCTTCATCATAAACTGGCATTGAGTCGCTCGGTGGTGCAGTTTGATCTATAATGGTGGCGGCACTGCTTAGCGTTGCGGCTGATGCGACCGCATTTGAAGCATTCATGTCAAGTGGCGGGGATCGTCCAGTGGTCAGTTGGTAATGTGTCGAAGCTCAGCTGACGGCGACAGTTCAGCTGAAGTTCGGCTGCTTTTCGAGCGAAGACGTGGGATGACGCTTCAGGTGAATGGCTAGATAACATGGTAGCATAATTAGGGTCAACCAGCCCATCAACTACGTACTTGCGCGCAGTTGAAGGGAGCATGTAATGCTACGTTTGTTGAGAAGCCTCTTCTTATTGTGAACGTATTTACGAACGTTTTAAGAGGGAGCCTTCTGACGTGATAGCATGTGTGTTAAATGGCTGTCGTTTGCGGATAGAAGCATTTGGATGGCTGTGACGAAGGTTGTAGTCTAGTCGCGCCAGGAGTTCTACTTGCTGCCATCGTATTGATGTTATGCCTTGGAGGAATCATGCAGTCGGCTTTCAGCTAGCGGTAGCATCACGTCATCAGTCAAAACATGTCGACGGGCCAACGAATTGATCTCGAGGAGCTAGAAGGCTGGTTCTTCAATTAGCACCAGTAAATTAAATAAACTTCAGTTCTAGACAGAGAAGATGCACTGTACTTGCAAAGGTTGCAGAGAAGATTGCAGTGGCGCCTTCAAAACGCTTGCTCCAAGTAGCGATTGCTGGCAGGACCGCGCAGAGGTCACTGATGGCCAAAGGCGAGCGATTACAGTCCATCTTTCGACAATGGTACTG